TACAGCAACTCTATGGAATCTGTCAAGTCCACGGTGTCAGAAACCTTCATGAGCAAGCCCAGCATCGCTAAAAGGAGAGCCAACCAGCAAGAGACAGAGCAGTTCTATTTCACGGTGAGGGGGCTCGATGGCTCTTGGGGATCCCCCGCAGCACACGGGGGGTACTCAGAACCCAGAATCCTTGTCAGGCATTGAAGGGATAGTCTTTGAATATCTTTATTTGGATCTGGGCATATTCAGAGACCATTCCTACACTTAACGACACAGATATCTACAAGTTGAATGTGTCTAACAGGGACACCCTACCCCCAAGAGAAGAGTGCTCCCAAGTACACTTCCAGGAAATTATTTTTTTTAAGAATTTTTTAAGCAGCTGGTAGGCTTCTGTTGGAAAGTTTCCTTCTCAGCCATAGGGTGTCAAAAAGGGAGGACTTCACTTCTTGGTTCTTGGGAGCTACATCCAAATATTCTGGCTAGCATATATCTGATTTCTAAAGCCTATAATCTCTTCTAGGTGCCGCGATGACCTAATTTCCTCATTTTTGTTGATGAGAAATTATCTTTCATAATTACGGCTGAAATTCTGAAAGATGGGTCATGTGTACCACTGTCAGGCTACAGGGACTTTCAAAACATTGTATTTTGTTATTTGTGCATCTCCGAGGCTTCTTTAAGACAAATAGACCCTATTTTCTTTAAGTAGTATGAACAGCCCTCTGGAAGGCTGCTGGCTGGTCGTTGGTGCTGCTTTTTAATAATTAAGTTATTTTGAGCTTGCCAAGTAGGATTCATTGCCTGGGCTAAAATTTATTTTCTAATCTTCTGACAACCAAGAAAGGAGAAATTAAATTTGCAGATGTGAGATGAAATATAGCCAGTGAATATGCATACTGATTCTGAATGAGAGGAATTAACTTGTTTTTCAGTCAAGAAACACAGTCTGCATGCAGTAAATTGAATTTTTCCTCCAACTGGAACAATTTGTTTAATTCCTCTTTGAACACTGCCCTTTCTCCATTAAGAACACTAGTGATTTGCTATCTTTTCTAAAAAAAGAAATCTGGTTTTTTACTTAGTGAACTAAGAATTCTTTTGATTTTTTTTTTAAATCCTAGAGAAGAGTGTTGAAAAGGAGTGATTGAACAGTATTGTTCTTTTAAAATAACTTTTTTCTTGTTATACGAAGCAAAGCATGCTTAAGATATAAATAGAGAAACAAAAAAGAGCACATAAAAATCATCCATAATCGTACTACCCTGAGATGACAGTATTAGGATATATTCTCTTCCTGTTTTTTTTCTCTGGACACACAAACATATATATGAGAGTATATTTATAATTTATTACAAAAAAAGGGGATACTGCTGTACATATTTTTTTTTTACAATCTGCTTTCATTTAGCAAGTGATTAATATTTTTCTAATTCATTTCATCGTAACATTCTTTAAGTATATTTATGAGTGAAATACTAAAATCTACACAGGAAAATAATGGGACAATTGGAGCAATACCTTGGCCCATTCATTCATTTTTGTGCTAAAAATGAATTTGCTATTTATTCGCTAAAAATATTTAGCACGCAGCCTGGTTTGTAGTTAGTGCTCTATAAATGGCTGAATATCCCCACAAGTATTATTATCTTCTTCATTAATCATTATTGAATTACTCTTTAATAGTTAATCTAGGATCTTCAATGTGCCAGACTAACCAATGTGCCATGCTAACTGAGATGCGGGAAGGCCAAGGGTAGGAAAACGAAGAGGCGAATGATAGGATTGGCCGTCTGAAGGAAGAACTTTCGTTTTCGTTTCATATGTTTCCAAACAGTTACAATAGATTGATTTCTGCAATCAAAAAATAGATATAAAAAATTTGCAACACATACCTGCGCACATGCATGAGTGGCAACAGGGATGGATGGAGCTGGGGAAACCTTGCACACAAAGTGACTTCTGTGCTTGATCTCGAGGGACGAGTGAACCAGGCAGGGAGCTAAGAGGAGAATGGCCTTCCTCGAGGAGAGAGCAGTCTGTGCAAAGCAAAAAGCCATACGCAGCCTGGGCTGGACAGGACGAGAACGTCTTGTCTACCATGAGGGCTGTGTCACTGCCCTGAGCTTTCTTATCTCGGGAGGGTGTTAAACACTCTAGAGGCTTTTAATAATAGGATTGTTTAGCTGGTCTGTCTGGACTGCTTAGATATAACGCTACTTAATGACCAATCTCATTACATTGCAGAAGATTTCTTTTTCTTTTCTTTTTTTTAAGTAAGGAATTTTGGACATAAAAAATCTGTATTTGAGCCTGTCAGAATTAGTTTTTGGCTTTCAATGAAACTGTGACATATGTATTCAAAGGTGACCATTAGTAAGAGCAGGGACAACCATAGTCAGACCGGTGGCCTCTCAAATCCTGCCCACCCATTCACCTCTGTCTGAATGCCCTTGATGTCCCCTAGCCCACTTCCTGTCTTTTGTGGCCAGGGCGCTACTTACCAAAATTGTGTGCCAATTTTCTTGGCTAACAGCAACACTTTTTGGGTAGTAATGCATTTACAAGAAAGTTCAGCATTTTTGTGACTGGGGCATGGAATGCATCAAATAATTCATTTCAGGATAGCAAGGCTTTTGGGGGGGCGGTGAAATGGACATTTAAAAAAAGAGGAGTTGCGTATCAGCCTGGCTGCCTGCAGTTGCCAAATCGTACAAAGCCCACACAACTGCAGACAGGCGTTTCCTGGTCTCTTGCCCCCACAAACGTTGCCCCTGGTTTTCTCTGGACCCTTTGAAAACATCAGAGGAATGCATTCCAGAAGCTTCCTTCTTTTGGAAAGTCAGGAGGCTGCTATTGGGTTGTTCTCCGCTGTCCTCAGATCGATCTGCCCAGATGACGTCAATTGAAGTTTGAAGCATGTCCTATAAAGGTTAGCTGTTTGCAGAAGTCCTAAGAAAATAAGCACGGAATTGGAAAGCTTGAAGTGATTTTTAGAAACCGTCTAACCAAACCTTCCCATTTGAAAGATTAAAAAGAAAGAAAGAACCCAAATGCCGAGAAATTGGGTAGCTGTTCCAAGGGACTCCACAAGGGCTAAAACTAGAATTCCAGTCACCTGGCCTCAAGCCACTTTCTTTCTTCTCCACTCTCTGCTGACGAAACTGAGGTGAAGGAAAGGCTCAGAAAGAGCCTGGCAACTTTATCCTCTCTTTTGCCCTGAGTGAGGCCATGTTTCCTAATCTCCTTGGATTTATGTCATTCATCTTTCATAACACACAATCCAGCAACGTCAACTTTTTATCCCATTGCTTTTTTTAGTGGTTATTTTAAAAAAATTATTTAAGATGTAAAGAATTCAAAAGAGCATACAGAAAAAGTCAAGCTTCTACCCATCTCTGACCCTCGATTCCTCTCTCCTTTGCCAGTGATTGAAACCAATTTCTTCTGTGTCCTTCCAGAGATGTCCTGTGCATAGGCAACCACTGACATATCCTTTAATACAATAAAATTACATTAGGAATATCATGAAATCAGGGAGCCTGGGTGGCTCAGTTGGTCAAGCCTCCGACATCGACTCAGGTCAGGATCTCATGGTTCGCGGGATCGAGTCCCACATCTGTCTCCGTGCTGACAGCGAGGATCCTGCTTGGGATTCTCTCTGCCCTCCTCCACCTCTCTCTCTCTCCCTCTCTGTCTCAAAATAAGTAAGTAAACATTTTTTAAAAGAAGTATACCATTTATACTGTTCTTCACTTTTGTTTTTTTCACTTAATTTTTTTTGGATGTTCTTTTCATATTAATCCAAAGATATCTGCCTCCTTTTTAATTAATTAATTAATTAATTATGTTTATTTATTTTTGAGAGAGAAAGCACAAGTGGGGAGGTACAGAGAGAGAGGGAGATAGAGAATCCCTTGCAGGCTCCCGCTGTCCACACAGATGTGGGGCTCAAAGTTAACAAACTGTGAAATCATGACCTGAGACAAAACCAAGAGTCAGCAGCTTAACCAACTGAGCCACCCATGCGCCCCTGCCTCCATTTTTAATCGCTACACAGAATTCCATTGTACAAATGGATGTGCCATCATTTATTTAACCAATTCCCTGCTCGTGGGTAGTAATGCTTTCTATTTAGCCAAGGACTGCCAAAGCCTATAAGGCTGGCACTTCTCTTAAGTATTTCCTTGTATGACGGTTGGAGTCTGGGGTTTTTGTGTAGGGGATGGAGTAAAGAAGGAGTTAAAGATTATGGCTGATAAACTGAACAGAGGTAGACTGCCTGAATTCTTGGGGACAGAATTGGTAAGGTCATAGGAGAGGAGATGGGACCTTGGCCATTGGGGTAGTGCTCTAGAATCCTAGATTTGATGTGGTCCAAGATATTTTTTAATCTTTTTTTTAATGTTTATTTATTTATTTTTGAGAGAGAGGGTGTGTGCGAGCAGGGAAAGGGCAGAGAGAAGGAGAGAGAATCCCAAGCAGGCTTCATGCTGTCAGCACAGAGCCCGACACAGGGCTCTATCTCAAGACTGAGATAAGGACCTGAACTGATATCAAGAGTCAGATGCGTAACCAACTGAGCCACCCAGGCGCCCTGAAGATCCTTTTTTATCTTGATATTCTCCTGCAGGTACTCGGAAAATGTGTGCTAAGTAGGTACCTACTTAGCCCCTGCCCTGTCAAAGTGGGAGATGTGCTCCCGTTTACAGGTTCACTGTTACATATTCTGTCTGACAGCCATTTCCTACTTTAAAAATTGACAGAGAAGAGAGAAATGTCAGTGTGCCTGGATGGTGGGGAAGCAGCCACCTCACAGTGACATTTGTGTGTCTCCGTGCATGGGGGCAGGGTAGACATAGTTCACTCCTCCCACCTTCCCCTCTCCTTTGCAAGCAGTGGACACTTCACACAGGTTAAATGCAAGGCATAAACAAGGTCCATGAGTTTTATACTGCTGTGTTATCAAAGAGAAGAGCTATTTTAAGTTAAATTTGAAGAGCATTCTAGTGCCTCTTACTTTTTTTTTTCTTTTTCTTTTTTTTTTTTTTAAGGCCAGAAACCTGTTTGATTCAGCTGTTTTACAGATTAGCACAAAGCAAAGAAGTTGAGGGAGGATTGTGTTTAGGTTATCTGAGCAGGTGATTCAGGTACCAGGAGTACTCTTGACCACTGGCTGCTTGGCTGGACCAAATGCTAATCATCACAGTCATGCTCGTTATCCTATTTCATCTTCAAACAACATTTGGAAAAAAGAAATTATTATCCTCATTTTTCAGATGGGGAAGCTAAGATGCTAGGGGTTAAGTGACCTGCCCAAAGTAAGCGGTAGGACGACAGTATCCCAACTGAGACTCTTTCATTTTACTGAGACAAAAATGTCTGTCAGGAGGGGAGGGTTCTGAAAAGAAAAAAAAAACTGTTACATTAATACTTTTCAATAAACAAAACTCATGCTGACTGATAATAACCAGTTAGGAATTATTAAGAAATAAGTTAACGAGATCGTAAAATCTGAATTGAAGGCTCACGGTGGCAAACAAAACCGAACCACCCAATAGATTGTTTGCCTCCTTTCGTACTTTTTGAAGAAATTCTTAGTTTTTATAATATTGAGTGTAAAATTTGGAGGTGGGGTAATGACTCTTGTCAGATTGTGTATTGGGAACGTATACACTTATCATTTGGGTGATCTAGCAGAGAGTCTTACACTTTCTCTTCTCCTCCATCAATGAAAATTCAAGATTAGTGACTTTACTTTCAATTATTTGGGGTGGGGGAGCAAGGTGCAGAGAAAGGAGTGAAAGAAATAAGTTACCTCCGGAACTGCCATCTTCCAGTAATTCGCCAAAATGACCAACACAAAGGGAAAGAGGAGGGGCACTTGCTACATGTTCTCTAGGCCTTTTAGGAAACATGAAGTTGTTCCTTTGGCAACATACATGCGAATCTACAAGAAAGGTGATGTTGTGGGCATCAAGGGAATGGGCACTGTTCAAAAAGGGATGCCCCACAAATGTCACCACGGCAAAACTGGGAGAGTGTACCTTGTTACCCAGCATGCTCTTGGCATCATCGTAAACAAGCAAGTTAAGGAAAAGATTCTTGCTAAGAGAATTAATGTACATATTGAGCATATTAAGCACTCAAAGAGCCAAGACAGCTTCCTGAAGCATGTAAAAGAAAATGATCAGAAAAAGAAGGAAGCCAAGGAGAAGGGTACTTGGGTTCAGCTGAAGCGCCAGCCTGCCCCACCCAGAGAAGCACACTTCGTGAGAACCAATGGAAAGGAGCCTGAGCTGCTGGAGCCCATTCCCTATGAATTCATGGCATGATAAATGTAAAAAAAAAATAAAGACCTCAAGACTGGAAAGAAAGAAAGAAAGAGAGAGAGAGAGAGAGAGAGAAAGAAAGAAAGAAAGAAAGAAAGAAAGAAAGAAAGAAAGAAAGAAAGAAAGAAAGAAAGAAAGAGTTACCTATATTGGAACATACTTTAAGTAAGGACAGTGACCCTTATCCACCAAGGAAGGGAGTTTGAGATCAAGACTGGAAAGAAAGGAAGGAAGGAAGGAAGGAAGGAAGGAAGGAAGGAAGGAAGGAAGGAAGGAAGGAAGGAAGGAAGGAAAGAAAAGAAAGAGAGAGAGAGAGAGAGAAAGAAAGAAAGAAAGAAAGAAAGAAAGAAAGAAAGAAAGAAAGAAAGAAAGAATAATGCACAGCTGTTCTTTTCGTGGCCTCCTGGTCTCCAGAAGTCATCAAAAAGCCACTTATTCCTGGGGCACCTGGGTGGCGCAGTTGGTTAAGCATCCGACTCTCAGTTTCAGCTCAGGTCATGATCTCATGGTTTCATAAGTTTGAACCCCAAGTTGGGCTCTGTGCTGACGGTGCAGAGCCTGCTTGGGATTCTCTCTCTTCCCTCTCTCCCTGCCCTCCCCCATTCCCACTATCTCTGTCTCTCTCTCTAAATAAATAAATAAGCTTTAAAAAAAAAAAAGGCATAAGTGCCTTCCTTGACTTCAGCTGCCTTGGCTCCTCTCTCTGTGTGTCCAGTCAGCAGCTGAAGTCTTCTGCCAGCAAGGCCAGATTATTTCTCCCAGCTTCTGTCTCATTCAGACGAGTGCTAACTAACCATGGGGGACAGGGAGGTGACAAATACGGTGCCTGTGCACTCTGGGATGACTTTCCCCTGCCATCCCTGGCTTACCCACATGGAACACTTGCAGCCGTGTCTCCACTGTTAGGGATGCAGGTCAACCTCCACACACTTTTTGGTCCTGCATGGTTTCGTGGAACCTGAACCTACCATACGTCTTTATCAGATGGTTACTTGTTTCAGTGGTTCACCAAGTGACAGCCAGAGTGAACTCACAGACTGTGACATGAAGGAGAAAATGACTACTGGAGTCACAAGCAGAAATATGAGTGAGGGGAAAGAATGTGCATCCGTCTCCTTTGAGACTTTTGGCTGTTTTCTGAGCAGTCTGGTCTGGTTTTAAGGGTTACAGTTTCTCAGTGAATTTCTTCCTCATTAGGAACCCTTGAGAGTCTCCTGGGATAACCTTCCAAAGAGGGGCCTTTGAGGGTTCAGGTGTTAGCAGTGCGTGTTTCCTGCAGGCTCTTCCCCTCTGGGTCCCGTTCCCAGCCCCACAGTTAGGCGCTGCTTGGGGATTAGGGTATCGCCCAGGGCAGACTGACAGCAGGTGAGCTGACAGCTGGAACAGATGGAAAGGGGAAGGTGACAAGGGAGCCTGTTCTCGTGCAAAGGCACAAAGGAGCTCAGGAAACTGGTCACGAGTGAAGCAACAGCCATGATTTGGTATAGGATTTGTTGTTGTTTGTTTTATACTTCGTTTAGAGAGGAAGGGCACACTTGGGGGCTTGGATTGTGACCACCGAGGAAGGTTCTAGCAGAAGAGAGTGAGGCTCTTCATTTCTTTACTCCTTCAAGCATTTATTGAGTGTCTACTGTCTTCTGGGTGTGGTAGTAAGGATCAGGGATGCAAAGAATAATGACGCTGAGCCCAGGGAATGGGAAGTCTGAAGACAAAAATGCATGAGTGACAAGCCCCCCGGGCCAGAGGTGTGTGAGAGTTGCAGAGGCACATGCAGGGGCATCCGGGTGAGCATGGGAGGGCCAGGATGTGCATCCCAGAGAAAGCACATTTTTTCCCTTTGTTTCTACATGAGAAAGAGAGAGAGAAGAAATACACACCTTTGGTTAAAAGCTTAGGCTGTACAGAAAGGCATAGAGTAAAAGTAACACATTTTTATCACCTTTTTTTCTGCCTTCCTCCTAAGTGGTAATAGCCATGAAATCAGAGGCTTGATGTACGATTATACGTTTTGTTTAATACATAGAAAGGACAAGTATTAATGATTTAAAATGTTTAATCTATTACCCCCTCCACTGTGTCATGTGTCAGCAGTGAGTCACTCAGGGATCCTACTCAGGGAAACACTGCCATCTTGCCTCTGAGCATAGACAGGGCAGATGACCCCTGACCCAGGAGACAACCAAGGCAAAGGAAAGTTGCTGTGTGTGGCTGCAGGGTAGAGTAGAAAGACGCCCGTGTTAAAACTCCGAAGGCCTGGCACTACCACTTCCAGGCTGGCACATATCTGCGATGCAACACCCCTCTCCCACGATCATCTCATCTGTAACAAGGGAACAACGATGTCTTCTCCGGCGTGCTCTACAGAGTCACTGCACGTCAAGGGAGAGGAGATGTGCTAATGGGCTCTGAAAACCCTTGAATTGCTCCACGTATATAAAGAGTTAATACCACGAAGTTTTGTTCTGCCTCTCCTTCTGTTGCGCGCCCTGATGGATGGAGTGTGCCTTCACGATGGTTGAGCACACACGCCCAGTTGTCACACTCCATGTGTCTGGACACTGGCTCCACCACTCACTCACAGTTTGACCTTCAGCAGCCTGTTTAATCTCTCCAAACCTTGGTGCCCTCATCCGTAAAATGGGGACAGTGATAATCATAGCTCATAGTGTTGCTTGGAAGATTTGATGAATTGTCCAGGGAAATAGAGTGTCTCCCCAAGCAGACAGGGGTAGAGAGAGGTCACTTCAGAAACTCCAGCACAGTAATTGCTTTCTGACTGTTAGAGCCGCTGGGAGCGCATTTCCATAACCTCATGTTGTGTTTGGAAGTGCCATTACCTGTATGTACGGATTGGGGGTGGTATAGCCTCTCTCTCTGGCAGCTCAGAAACCCCAAGCCTTCCACAAAGACTCTGTGCAGAATAGAGGAGGAAGCTGATTAAGGGATGGCTCAGACAAAAGATGCTCTGCTTGCTGGCTTGCGGCTTAGGCAGCGGCTGAGCCCGCCCTTGGCATTGCTCCTAGTGTGTTGGAATGCACCCTGGGAGGGGCCCACGTGGAGCCAGATGTCAATGCAGGTGGCGAGTGGCAGGTGTATGTCCTCACACCAAGAGCCTTTGGGCTCAGTGAGTCTACCCACCCCACCCCCACCCCCTGTTCTTCTCCAGTGGAACTGAAAGAGATGGATGAGGGGCTCTGCGAGGCAGTTTCCTACACTAGCCGATGTGGAGCTGGCTCCCAGGAGAGCACAGACCAGGGTACCCATCCAGCATGGAAATCAGCAGCTGTCCAGATGCTCAAGGCCTTAAAGAAATAAAAAAGGAACCTAGTAGAAACTGGGTCAGAAACCAAATGCCCTCTTATGAAAAGGGAATTGTACAGCTGAGCATCTGGGTGTTCTTTTTTTTTTTCTCCTTCAGGAGTCTGACTGCTTTTCTCCTCCTCCCTTACAGAAAATGAAGGAGTACCTGGAAGGCAGGAACCTCATCACCAAGCTCCAAGCCAAGCACGACCTTCTCCAGAAAACCCTGGGAGAAAGTGAGTGTAGGAATTCTGCTAGAAGTTTGGTAATGGGGGTAAGGCCAAGCCCCGAGCTGTAGGGCTGAGCCTCCCCACTAAGCCCCATGGGCCTGATCTGGTTATGTGAATGCATGTCTTTTCCTAGCCTGTTTGCTGTGAAGCACACAGCCCCACATGACTGCCTGAGTAATGGGAGAAGGCCGGTGCTTAATGAAGCACTAATGTGCATCATCTTATTTGTTTAAATGGAGCGTGCCTGCCCTCCACCCTGTCCCCCTTCTCCGCCACGGCTGGGGTAAAGGGCTGATGGGTTACTTGCTCTCCAGACGCTTTGTTGAAACTCTCAGTTCCGCTGTAGCGGGACTGAGGCTGCAGCAGGAAGGCAGGGACAGTGAGGTGAGAACGCATCTGCTCTGAGGAGACGAGAGGCTTCTCAAAGGCAGGAGGAACCCACAGACTGCCGCTTTCTGTAGTGTCAGGTCAGAGCATCGCTTTCCTTCTGCTTTGGAGGGTCCTGGTACAAAATGGCAGCTCTCTCTGCCTCAGCCACGCAGAGGCCATGGTACCGAAGGGCCCATCTCATCCATGAGTCAAGGATGATTTTAACCAGACTCTTGAAAGTAGCAAAGCAGAGAAACTGGACTGACACTCTGGACTTTCTCTCCTCAGCTGTCAAACAGAAGGCAAAGGTTGAAAGAGAAGCTTCCTTGGGGTTTTGGGCACCCTGCCCGGGTCCTGCCTAGCTCTCAGCGTCCTGTGATTAATGGGATTCCCAGGATGGGGATGCCTCTGAATGCCCGGCCCCTCCTCCCTGCCCTGCCCATCTCGTCACTTAGAATGGGACCAGAAAGCTACAGGCAGTATGTGGTAACACCAGAGAAAAGCAAAACTACACAGAGGTCTAACATTTTAAAGCAAATTCTTGAGCGCTCTTCAGACAAATTGCAGTGTAGAAAAAGCATATGGCGCTCATTGGCTCATCCGCCTCTGGAATCAGAGCTACACTTTTCATACCAGAGCCTCCCACCCACCATTCTGGCCTTGTTCTCCTCCCCTCCTCCTGCACTGGACAGTTCCCCCAGGTGATGAATTCTTTTTATCCCTGGGATCTTTGATCTTGTGATTGTAAAGGCATTTTCTTTTATGTAAAGAATGCCTGTTAGGTAACTTCTGTTCTCTTTCCTCCCCGCCACCCAAGGGACTCAGGCTAAAACAGGTTCAGGCACTGAGATCCTGGCTTTGCTTATAGAAAATCATTACTTTTGGGTTATCAGATTGCTTCGTAGGGAATCAGAGGAAAGAAAGCCCAGAACTATTTGAAGCGAATTATAACCATGATTTCCTTTTTGCTAAAATGATCCATGCATAGCCCATAAATGAGATGGGGAGCAGGACCTTGGGAATGTGTGTGTTTGTGTGAGAAAGAGAATGTGTGTATGTGTGTGTGTGAATGGGACTGCACACACATACTTGCACCAGATTTGCCACTGTGGAGGGGCAAAGGTTGGTGACCGTTCATTAGTGCTGCAAATTGCCTCCATCTAAAGATGACAAGTTCTAGCAATAAGGGAAAAAATAGCTGCAGATCTTCCTGTGTGCAAGTCATCGTGTCCCTGCCTTCCGAATGTATTTGTCACCATAATGCAAGAGCCCCTTGTTCTTGTCACAGAAGGATAATTGATGTGTATGAATATTCCAGAATGGAAATGGGACAGATGTTGACAATAATGCCTCAGAATAATATTTTTGCAGATGAAAGCGGAGCCTTTAGTAATGAGAGGCTGTTCGGAGTGGGGAAGGACAGTGCTCAGGATGAGCTGAAGTGTAATCAACAATTAGTAACCTTTAAAGGCAAGAAGAAGCCCTGCCCTCCCCCGCCCTTCCCCGTCCTTGGAGCTGTTTTTCCAGGAGCGTGGATCATGACCTCTTCCCCAGCCCAGCACCTGCGTGGGTGTCCCTGCTCTGGCAAACGGACATCTAAGAAAATCGTTACTTTTGGGTTATCAGATTGCTTTGTAGGGAATCAAGACCACGCTTGGTTAACTGTGGATCCAAAGACAGCAAGTAGATTACATCATGGCCCATGTACATAGGCACATGTATTTTTTAAAAATAGAAGAATTCTTCTCATGAACTTTAAGAGATTCATTTTTTAAAGCAGGCTGTGACCCATTAAACACGATCTTAGGGCCTGCTGTTGGATTGAGAACCACAGTTTGACAGCAATTAAATCTCGTTTCCCCTTGCCACCCCAGCCCAACCTAAGAGAATTTTGTATGGATTTAAAACTAGAACGTTCTTATCTTCTCCCTCCACCACCACCCCCAAACAATTCTTCCTTCCTTCTTGCCGCTCTCACCGTGTGTGTGTGTGTGTGTGTGTGTGTGTGTTCATGTGTATGTGTTCATGTGTGTGTGTTTGTTCGTGTGTTCTTTACTCAGGAGCAAGCAAGTCCCTCCTCCCTCCTCCCACACACACCCACATACACACACCCACTCAGAAGACAAGCTGGATTTCACCTCTGGGAAGGCTTCTAGTAATTTGTTCTCTAACATAGGATCCGCCTTGCTATTGTTCCCTACAGCCACCCTGTTTTCCCTTTGGGAAGCAGGGTTCGCACCCGTAGGCTTTAGGGACCTACCAGCAGCCCTGGGAGCAAGCATTAGAAACACCCCTTGCCCAGGAGGAGGCTCTGGGTGTTTCTCTTCTTGTTCTCCCTGGAAGGCCAGTCACGACGCGCAGTGATGCTGGCGGCTGTCTGGGAGGACGGGCAGGGCATTTCAGGGAACTCCTGGCAGCAAGTCTTCCTCTCTGGCCCCTTCTGCTTCAACATGAGCTTTTTGCCTTTGTCTTTCCAACAGGTCAGCGGACAGACTGCAGTCTGGCCAGGTAGGTGTGGCCTGGGACAGTCCTGGGAAGGGACGAAGAGAGGCCCGTGGGGTAGAGCAATCCCAGCCCAGCCCGGGGAAAGAGCCGCGTAGTTCAAGTGTGAAGGCTTTGGATGCCTTTGCAAAGGAGGGGACTAGGGCGGGGGTTGCTTCCTTCCCTTCGCCTTGCTGACCCCATCTGGCCTCAAGTGGAAATGGGGTCTGCCGTGACTCAGGGAGAGAGCTGAGCGGAGTGGAATAAAGGGAGTTATTTGCTGAAGTCATTCCAGAGACTCCCCAAAGCCACGGCTTTTCCAAGGAAAGGAAGTGTTCGCCTCTGGAGGATCCTGGTAACCTAGCCTTAGCTGCTACACTTCAGCATGTGGTTTGGGGGAAGTCTCTGACCAGAGAAGGAAGATCAGGAGATAGCATTTGATCTGAGATTTTATGTATGGAAAAGATGACAGCCCCTAATTAGTGGCTGTTGCTGGATCATGAAATACTACATCGCACTGGCTTGCCAAACAGCATCGGTAGAAATCCTTGCCTGTTGTACAAGCATGCTTCCAGTCTGTCCCCACCTTCCCCTCCCTCCCCGACCCCAGCCAAATATTTTCCCTCCCAGTCATGTAGCTGCTATGAGAAAACTCGTGAGCTGGCGGAGAGCAAGGCGTTCAGCCAGCCAGCAGTTCTCAGATGCCTAAAAATGTGCTGATTTAACCAGGGAAAGAGGTTTAATGGGCTAGACTCCTTAGAGACCTGGGTTAGCCCATTATATCAACCACTTCTATCTGCCAACACACACACAATAATCATGAGGCCATTTACAATTAGAGGCTCATTATTTAGAAATAGCTTCATTTGGCTTTCATCGTTTGTCATTGTGGATTACAGTAAAGGTCCCATTAATATACCAGTCTCGTTGACTGGAGGGAACCAGGATCATGGAATTTCATGGAATATATCTTCTTGGGGATAGTCTTAATGTAAGTTCACCTGAAGCCCCATATCTGTGGAAAGCTGTATGGGAGGGAAAACAAGCTAGGTTGAATCCCCTTAGGCTGTGTGACCTTGGACTGCTCTCTGCTCTCCTTACAAGTCCAGTTCCCCCATCTATAAGACAAGAAAGAGCAGCCCACTAGACCCAAGGAGCTCTAGGATTCCAGAGAGGCTCCTCGAGAGCAGCCTCGTGGAAGGGGCAGAGAGAGCCAGCAGCCAGGCTCTGGGCCTTACTTCCTGCACTGCAGGCAGAGTGGTGCTGTTCTCCATGCTTAGGGAGTTGTGTCTGAGTTCGATTCCCTTGGAAAAGAGTTTGAAAGGCATTCACCTGAAGGATCACCAAGGTTCCTTCCAGTCCGACTGCTCTGTCCTTGAAACTCCAGGAAAATTGCTCCCTAAGGATTTCCAAGAGAATGAACACTGTGTCTTCCTTTGGTGTTAGAGTGTCTCCTTGCAGACAGAGACATCCTCTGATTGTCTAACCCAAGCATATTTGATTCCCACCTCTTCTAGTTTTGAATGGTGGGAGACAGTGAGTGCAGAGATCTCTGGGGGCCTGGGCCTGGGACTGAGTTGAACAGCATGACTTGCTTCATTAACTAACACACAGATTGTTTTTAATCCCATTATCTCTTTTTTCTCCCCATTGCTGGTTCGGGTCATCTCTACTTTGGTGGGGTCAACTGCAGGCGGAGCTCAACTGTAAGGAAGCAGGTAAGGGCCCAGCAAGAGCCAGGCTGGTCAGGTGAGAAGGTGATTATGTCCCAGAGACATTTCTGGAAGCCTACTGTGGGCATGATACTTTCCTGACTTCCTGCCTATGTTTGGGACGTACCATTCAGTCATAATACATTTACCACTATGGCAACTTGATTGCCTTAGCAATGCAGCCACGGCCATGGCCTTTCTGACTTGTTCCTCACCTAGTCGTTCACTCTCTTCCTTGCTAGAGATGTGGTTGACTGTGGCAGATTGTGCCCGCGGTGTCACTTCTCTAGGAAACCGCGAAAGAGGCCTCACGCTTTGTACCTAAGTTCCACATGAGAGCAGCTCACAGCAGCTCACCTCGAGGTCATCACCTCTAGCGGACACGCTTGCTTTAAGTGTGTGGATTTTTGTTTGTTTCTGGCAGTGCGGTCATCCTCGATGTATTTCTAAAAATGCAAAGATGAGCCTGATCTGAGGATGATCAGGAAACTGATGTTCAACCCCGTGCTGGTTCACATGATTTTCAGTGTTGTATTAAAATCTGACACTGGGCAGCCAGCTCGCTTGACCCGTGTCAGGGCAGGATGTTGGAAGGCAGGGCCTGGGTAATGCACATCAGTGGATAATCTAAAAAAGAAAAAAATTAATTGAAGTTGCTTTTCCAGTGGCAAATATGACTTCCTAATTATATTTTATGGCACATACTAAAATGATTTTGTGTCCCCAAAGCTCATACCGGCTACGTGGCAGGCAGTTAACAGGGAGGAGGTAGAGAGAGCTCCGAAACGTCTTTGTGTCTACTCGGGGGAAAAACTGGTCCAGGCTTTAAAAAATCATTTTGGGTAATTCACAATGGCTGCAGCCACCGGGAGATGCTCGAATGTAGAAGGCACATGGCTTCTGTTGCGTCAGCGGCCGCAACAGGGTCTCCAGCCCCTCTGACTGCTTCGGCTCACCAGGCAGTCCAGCGGGGACACTCGGCCGACACAGCTCTCACTCAACTTAGCTTTGCTGTCACTATTCCTTTTTCCCTTTCTCTGCTTTGGATCTCATTATAGGGAGACCACCGTCAGATATACTTATACATTTTTTAATTTATAAAAATTTCATTGCATCTCTCCTTCCTCTGGCTCCTCTATGTCTTTCTTTGGCCCCATCTCCCATAATTTCATTTGAACCTAGAGAAGAATGGAGTGCCTTCCAGGGATAATCTATTGCATTTAAAATTAATAGGTGGGTATCTTAAAGAGGGAGCCAGCTTTCTTCCCTTCAGCATTAAGAACAGGGTCGAACTTAACAATTGTTCCTTTCAGTTCCTGGGCTGAAACTGGGCCTCCTGCATCTAGATGGAGCAGAGGTGCAAGGGCCTCCCAGCCCGTACTCTAGCCTCGCAAGTGCAGAGACCACGGTGTGGGGGTCAGCAGGCGCCCCTGGCTGGGCTCACCGTCGGAGGCCGGCCACACCCATCTGGTCTGTATCCTGCTGCGTCTAGGCAGGTCCAGGCAAACATATTGTCTGGTGCTAGATTTGCATAAGAACCAGGATGCACCCCAAACCCCAATCAAATAAAGACCTTGTTTTCCTTCTGCTGCCCCGGTTTGTCTCCAGCAGCTCAGATCTAATGGTGGATCAGTGAGGAGTTTTTCCTACGATAGACAGGCAGGGAAATAGTAACTGGGAAGATGAGTGGTCTTGTATAAGAAAATAAATAATTGGTTGTTTATGGCAAGTCAGCCAAACAAGAGGAAGAGTCTGGTAGCTTTTGTTTTTGAGGATCCCTAATAGGTTCCAGTCACTTTTGACCCTATCAAAGGCTAGGTTCAAACCATCCCAGGCTTTTCTGCCTCAACTGCCACTTTTCAGCTTTTTCTGCTACCCTCAAGCCCAGCATTTCTCTTTCCCATCTTTCGGACTCTTCTTTGCTTGTCTGTCTTTCTTCATGCCTCTAAAGTAGGCACGCTCCCAAGGCTTGGTCCTCTTTGGACTTTTTGTATTCCTTCCCTTGTTGCCTTGTTCGCTTAGATGAGCCTTTCTCTCCTTCCCTAAGTGTTTATTGTTTTGAATCTTTGGATCCAATCTTGAACTGATTGGCTGAGTATCCACTTGAGAGTTGAGAGTTGCCTCCCTGCATCAGCCTACCCTCCTCCCTACCACAGTCTAACTTCCTTAGCACATTCCCCAACTTCTCTACTTCCCATGATGGGGAGCCTCCATTCTTCATTCACGGTGCTGAAACCCCAAATATTATCTTTGATGCCTCTTTCTTTCCCATCACCCACATCTAATCAGTCATGTAGACTTGTATTTTCTCCCTTGGTAAAAACAGAAATCTAACAATGTAACAGATCAGTACCCGGCAAAAATCCAAACTCTCTCGCTCATGAGAAATTATACCAAACAATGGCATGTTTAGGCACTATCTGGCCACCTTCCTGATTGTTTTCTCCTGCCAGTCACAGGACCCCTGCTTTACCATCTTTTCCAAATCATGCCTGTTATCTTTCTCCCTCCACCTTTGGTTTAAAGGTCCCTTAATCTGATCGAATGGAGATTTGTCCCAATTGTCCTTAAAGCCTCCTCCCCACCCTCGGATTATACCACCAAAAATACTGTGAACTAAAGAACTAAATGGACATCAATTCTAACATTGCAGGAGGGAAGAAGAGGGCAAGAAAGGGAGAGATGGACACAGCATAAGAACACTCATGGACACTGCGTGGTCAGCTGTTTGCGAAATCAGTGGTGAAGTGAGGACCTTTGGGGCCCCACAGGAGCATCCTGGGGGAATGAATTCACACAAAGCTCAGAAACATTACAAGGAGAGGGGAGGGTAGTAGGAGCTTCTGAGGCTTTAGTGACATTGTCCAGTTTTTGCTCCCACTAGACTCTGTCTTAGGCTCCCCCGGTCAGTGTGGCCTAGGCAAATACTATTCTGCAGTAGGACAGGACATCTCTGGCCCACTCTTGTCCACCACAGATAATCCCTCTGGGCTGCTTCCGATGTACCCGGATAACCATGGACATGCAGGTTTGATGTCTTACTTTCTGCAGCCCTGCATGCTTCCCTTTAACTACCACTGATAGTCTGTTTCCTGCAAGTCTAGGCAGAACTTTGCATTCACATAACTTGTTGAAGCCCGTAATCTGTGAGCTTCCCAACCTGCCTCTCTCTGGGTCTTTAAATTTAAGCCTAGGGCCAGAAAAACTTCACAAACCCTCATATCACTAACTTCATCATCACCGCTACCACTTTGTAACTTCCAAAAACTGGAGGTTTGTTTTGTTTTATTTTGTTTTTTTTTATACTGGAATCTCGTCTCTTCATTAGAGTATAGAAGTATAGACCCAGATCCTTCCTCTAAGATCACCCCAGGCTGACTGGCAACAACAGGGCAGACACTGGCTACTCTAGCTAGAAAGCTGGAGGAAGCAGATGGGTTGGGGCTCATGAAGATGAGCCTTTGGGACTGAGACCTTCCGGACTCCAGCTCTACCTTGGCGCACCCACGACTCCCTGTGGCAGCATCCTGCCTTCCCAGTGAGCTTGGGAGCGAGAGGCCATGCCTTACAGCCTGACTTCCTCACGAGACCTGGCTGCTTCCCTAATGGTGGACCAGGGCCCCAGTTGAAAATTCAGGGATGTAGGCAAACCTGTGAATGGGGCAGAAGCCACAGGGCCCATCCCACTTGAGAAGCAATCTCTGTCCTAAACTACTTATTATATTTTATTTTTAAGATTTTATTTGGGGGAGGGGGCACTTGGGTGGCTCAGCTGGTTAAGCGTCTGACTTTGGCTCAGGTCATGATCTCATGGTTTGTGAGTTCGAGCCCCGCATTGGGCTCTGTGCTGACAGCTCAGAGACTGGAGCCTGCTTCAGATTCTGTGTGTGTGTCTCTCTCTCAAAAATAAACATTAAAAAAGTTATTTAAAAAGATTTTATTTTTTATGTAATCTCTACACTCAACATGATCTCAAACTCCCAACCCTTAGATCAAGAGTCACACACTCCATCTACGGTGCCAGCCAGGCACCCCTGTCCTGAACTTCTATAGCCCTTTTCAGCTAGGTTTAGGGCCCTTTGCCTGATCCCTTTCTTCCTTGTAGCTGAATGATTGTGTATTTAGCTGCATTATAAAACCCTGCTGGTTTTCAGTAATGCTTGGTGTACATACTTGGCAATATTTGCTGAGCACCTAGGTTGCGGGTTGGGTGGCAGTGAGGTGTTCGGTCTTGGAAGGAAACTGCCTGGGTTTGGATCCGAGCCCTGCCACTTATTACCTGTGTCACTGTAAGCAGCTATCTCACCTGGCTAAGTCTTCATCTCCTCATTTGTCAAATGAGGATGATAGTAAGGATACATACCCCATGGGGTTGTTATCAGGACCAGTCTATCTAAAGCACCTAGGACATGACCCACCACCTGTGTAAATTCTCTGTAAATGGTAAGCTCTAATGTTCATGTGCCAATAGGAAATGTTACTCTTCTCACCACCTATTCCCTCCCCAGTTTGTAGACATCGAGTTGAGGCCCAAAGAAGTTAAATAAATGGCAGTGATGTATAGCAAAATGGCAGAGCAAAAATTTATGTCTGGGAGGCCTGCTTCTTAGTTTAGTACCAATTAGTTTCCACCATTTCTCAGAGTTGGGTTTTTCTTTCCTACCTTTTACGCCAAGTAAACCCCCTTTCTGTTGCTCCCATTGGGTCATCAGCTGATACCCTCAACTGACAATAATTGAACACCTACTATGTAAGAACATCATGGCCGGCCCTAGTGATCCAAGAATTAACAGGATCTGCCCTGTGGAGCATGAGCTATGGTGGTGACAGATGCAAACGAGGTATTCATACCCACACAGGGTATGAATCTCATCTGGGGAGTCTGATCTCATCTGGGGAGTCTGGAGAAGCAGTCCTAAGAAAGTGATACTTGCACTGAGATCCGGGTTGGGGTCCCCGGGTGAGGAGAGCATTCCAGAAGCAGGAGCAGCTCATGCAAAGCCAAGGACAAAGAACTTCTCCAAGGAATGGAAAGTTAGGCTGGTATGTCTGAAACAGAGAGACTGGAGGAAGGAGCAGAAGGAGATGAAGCTGAAGGCAAAGGCAGGACCCTGGAGCCACAGGCTGTGTAAAGAAGCCAATCAAAAAGGTTAGCTTAGAAAGTGAACGACAGGGTGTGCACTTTGAGAGGTCACCCACCACTATATTAAGGAAGGACAACATGGTCTGAAGGATGGCAAGGGTGGGAACTGAGATACTGATGTAGGGACTAAGTAGAGATGGAGCAGAGATGGCAGTAGAGATGGAGAGAAGTAAATGGATTTGAGAGATGTTTAGGAGGCCGACTTGACAGCACGTATTGACTGATTGATTGGATGGCTGTGGTAGGAAGCTGGAGGATGATCAGTTGCACTTAGGACATGCTGAGTTTAAGGCATCCGTGTGGCTTTCCAAGTAGGTGGTTGAGTGTATGCTCTGAAGCTTGGAGGAGGCCAGATGCTTCTTTGAGGACCGGCCACTGAGCCAGCTGAGATGAGTTCTGCACAGTCCAGCCCGTTTTCCTCTGACTCTGGGCTATGCCTGTTTAAAGATTCTAATGCTATGTTTCTCTTTGGCCTTTCAGGATTCCAGCCAGGCGATTCCTCTGGTGGTAGAAAGCTGTATCCGGTTTATCAGCAGACACGGTAAGCAGGATTAAAGCCTTGCCCATATTTGTGCAAAGTTGGGAAGAGCCTCCAGGAATTCTTTGTAGAGTAAGAACAGAGACCCACTTTGCATCTTGACCTTCTCAGAAACAGAATGAAATCTTGTTTGCGTAATGTTTGCTACCTTGGAATGGCCACACCTAGACATTGAGAGAAAAACAGCATACGCTTTGACCTAAAATGCCTCAGCCACTTACCACACTCCCTCTTCTAGCTTGAGAGTAGGTTTTATTTTTTTTAATGTTTTATTTATTTCTGAGAGAGAGACAGCATGAGCAGGGGAGGGTCAGAGAGAGAGGAGTCACAGAATCTGAAACAGGCTCCAGGCTCTGAGCTAGCTGTCAGCACAGAGCCTGATGCGGGGCTCGAACCCACGAACTGTGAGATTATGACCTGAGCTGAAGTTGGACGCTTAACCGACTGAGCCACCCAGGCACCCTGAGAGCGGGCTTTAAATCACAGCTGTGATGTGAGTAAGTGCAGCTGGGATGGAGTGGTAACAGTTTTGCCATTACTCACCATCTTCTCACGTGTCGTATCGCCTGCCGCACGGCTGGAAGCCTTATGTCACACTGTCTTTCTACATCATACTCCTTTGAAAACAACTCCTTTTGTGATGTTGCCCTGATTCATAATAATACTCAGGTTCTGGTTCCGGTGTGGTCTCGCTGGACACAGTATCACCTGGAGCTCCGTTAGTCACCTGTCTAAAGATGTAGCCAGCCTTTGAGAGACTTCGGGGGCTGGCTCCTTCTCAGCTGAAGTCAGATCACACTATCTGCTGCTTGGATGAAGCTGGGTCTCATAAACTCCATCCCTCACCAGCTCCCAGGCTGGTTGCACAAAATCTGGGGGTGGAGGTGAATTGCCAGCAAACCAAGCTTCTACGCGTAAGAGTGTTTAGAAAGCACAACTATCTGAGCTAATGCTGTGGACATTTCTAGGAACTGGACATCAGACGTTGTTTTTAGAGGCTGTCTTATCTAGTTAGAGGAAAAGGGACAGAATGACCTTCTTGCAGCTAAGGAGGTGTATAAATGATTGCTGGTCTCAGTGCAGAGGCACACAATTTCCCTCCCTTCCTCTCTCCCAGTAAGCTGGGACCTTGCTTCCATTCGTTTTTGGAATAGTAATTATTTTAGTATGCTTACAATTTTACCCCGCTCTAATCAGCTACAGTTTTTTCATCTTGTCTCTATTTACTTGAAGTAACAGCATTGTATATCAATAGTGAACAAATATTTATCAAGGTCCTGAGCCGTGCTGGGCACCATGCATTGTCAACTAGGAAAACAAAACCAGAGACAATGTACCTCTCCTGTCTTTACTTGGTTTTATGATGCATTTAGGAGAAAATAAATAAGCAATTGAAAAGCTAAATCAAAGGAGATAAGCTCTAGCAATTCAGAGTAGCAGTAGAAGAAACTTCACAAGATAGTAACGATTAATGATGGAGTAATTGGCAAAGATAAATCCAAACTGAGTTCAGGGGAGGAAAAATCATTTATGTCTAAAGGACAACAGGAGGAAAGGAGTCTGCACTCTTATTGCTTCGTCTGTGCGTTCCATTCAGTTGTTCAACAAATATATAGAGATACAGGTTGTTCATTGTGTGCCAAGGAAAAGTCCCTGTCTTCATGAGCTGTATATATATAGATGATTGGCTGATCAGTTAATAGATAAACACAGTCATATACAGTGTGTCTGCTGGTGGCAAGTGTCAAGAAGAAAAGCGAGGTGAAGAGATGGAGAATGGAGACCGGGACACCGTGCTGGGTGGGTTGTTCAGAGAAAGGCCCTCAGCTCCCCTTCTAAGAGGGTGACATTTGGGCGGAGTCCTGAAAGGAAGTGAGGAAGAGAGCCATGTGGCATCTGGGAAGAGCGTTTCAGAGAGAGGGAGTGTCGGATGCAGAGATCCGTGGCATACGCGGACCAGCATGCAGGAGGCCGGTGTGGCTGGAACAGAGAGAGGGAAGAGAAGAGGGGCAGGGGATGAAGCCAGAGGCCAGACTCAGGGCTCATCGCCTAAGGGAGGTGTTTGGGGTATATTCTGAGTGAGGTGGGAAGCTACTGGAGAAGTTTGAACAGAGAGCTTTTTTTTTTAAGGATTTTTTTTTATTTTTGAGAAAGAGAGAGCACAGGCACGGAAGGGACAGAGAGAGGAGGGAATAGAAGATATGAAGCAGGCTCTGCGCTGACAGCAGCGAGCTCGATGCAGGGCTCAGACTCACGGGCCGTGAGATTATGAGACCTGAGCCAAAATTGGACACTAAGCCAACTTAGCCACCCAGCGCCCGCCCCAACCCCACCCACCCGCCCCGGACAGAGAGCTTTAAAAAGAGCAGCTCTATGGAGATAAGGCCATGGGAGGAAAAAGGCTATTGCAGCCACCCTGGGAAGACACGACAGTGGCCAGGCCCAAAGTGGGAGCTGTGGGGTAGCTGAGGAGGACATGAGTCCAGATACCGTGACTCAAATGTGCCCATCCCTGCCCCCGTCCATGCACGGTGCATGTGGGACATTTCTAGAGGGGGGGCTCTGGGGAAACAGGTGTACTCACACAGCGCTGGTCAGATTGCAACCTGTCACAGCCCTTCTGGAGGGGACTTGACGTGTCTAATGGGGCTGCATATGCACACATCTTCTGACCCAGCAGCCCTTGTGGGAGTTCACCTTGAAGAGGCACCTCCAACAATACGAAAACACACACGCCCGAGGTTATGGGTTGCAGTCTCATTTGTAAAAATATTAGAAACAACCTAAATGCCCTCACACAGAACAGTGGTTGAATCAACTATGGTGCATCTGAATCCTGGGCAGTTACGAAACAGGAAGGAGCACGGTCTCTGTGAAATGACATGGAAAGATTTCCAGAACATGTTGTCAAGCGAAAAAAGCACAGTACAAAAGTATTGATAGCATGCTGCCTTTTTTGTACAAAAAAGACGATATAAGAATGTACGTGTGTCTTCTCACCTCGGCAAGAAGAAATACAGGAGGGATGAATCCAGAAACTAATATTTGATTGTTTATCTACAGGATATGCGTGGAAGAGGGATAAAAAGAATGGGGGGGGTAGGAGATGGGAGGGAAGTGACATTTTCTCTGAACATTGCTTTTGTATAATTGTGACTTTTTTTTTTTAATGTTTTTTATTTATTTCTGAGAGAGAGACAGCATGAGCAGGGGAGGGTCAGAGAGAGAGAGAGAGATACAGAATCTCAAACAGGCTCCAGGCTCTGAGCTGTCAGCACAGAGCCACACATGAGGCTTGAACTCATGAACCATGAGATCCTGACCTGAGCCAAAGTCGGACACTTAACTGACTGAGCCACCCAGGCGCCCCTAATTGTGACTTTTAGAACTACATTAGTGTTTCCCATATTCAAAAGATAAATAAACAGATAAATAAAACAAGGATGTGGGGTAAAACTCCAAGTGGAATACAAACAGTAAATCAGCATAACCAGTGAAAGAAGAAGAAAATAATCTAAGTAACTTTGGAAAACAGTATATTTTTTTAAATGTTTTTAACATTTATTCATTTTTGAGAGAGACAGAATGTGAGTAGGGGAGGGGCAGAGACAGAGAGGGAGACACAGAATCTGAAGCAGGATCCAGGCTCTGAGCTGTCAGCACAGAGCCCTATGTGGGGCTTGAACCCATGAACTGTGAGATACTGACCTGAGCCAAAGTCAAACACTTAATTGACTGAGCCCCCCAGGCGCCCCTGAAAACGGTATTTTGATCCTGTACTGTAAGTATAAAGACAAGAGCTGTAGATAAATACTATGCAGCTCTTGGTAATTTTTTTTTTTTTTTTTTGAGAGAGGGCACAAGTGAGCGAGGGACAGAGAGTGAGACAGAGAGAATCCCACAAGGGGCCGAGAAAGAGAGAGAAGCAGAGCTTGTGCTTACCAGAGGTAGGGCTCAAGCTTACCCAATGCAGGGCTCAAACTCATGAACCGTGAGATTGTGACCTGAACCGAAAAAATAGACAAACATATTGTTGCTTGGGGGGGGGGGGGGGGGGGGCAGGAACACCGTAGTACACAGTAGTTGTTTAAAAAACATTTAAGCTAAATTGAACTTTTCCCCCCCAAATAGGGATTCAAGGTATTTCTAAATTCCCCATAAATCAGGGTTAAAATTTTTGTGCATGTGCATTTCATGGAGATAGGATCTCCAACCCTTGTCAGTCCCAAAACGGTCTATGACCCACCAACTGCTGGAATTTGTACCTCCTTACTAACTTCGTGTTCCTCGAGAGGTAGATTTTATCATTCCCATTGTATAGATGAGAAAGCTGAGGCTCATCCGTAACTAGTGTCAGGGTGATCCAGGAACACTTAAAGGAGAGCAATTTGGGGAACGACAGACTGAATCAGGAGGCGAAAGCCCCACTGATCTTACGTGCAAGGGAGCCAAGTAACGTGGGCCAGTACTGTAGCCACCATTTCAAGAATTCTGATAGAGAGTACCTCTTGACAACAGCTGGATGTAGTGCAAAATGGAAGGTTCTGTGCTGCTTCCATACGGTAACTTACCCTCGTCTGAGTGGTTTTATGCCTTCATGTTTGCATGCCCTAAAAACAAATGAAAAAGATCACAGAGGGGTCAGGTTAGTCTGTCCGATGAGGCCTTACCTGTATTCTCATGAGAAGCCCAGTGCTTTTCCCCTTTACTTCTGAAAACCAACCATTTATCAGTGTTTCGACTTTCAGTGTCATTAGATTAGATACTTTGAAGATTCTGTCTGCTGACCAAGAACCTATAGCGATCTTTCTACACAGTAGGTTCCCGAGGGGAAGTGGGAACCAGACGGAAGGGGATCTCTCTGTGTTTCAGGTCTGACTTCCAGGAAGTTCTCCTCTGCTTTCCTCGTGGCCTGGGCCCATGGGCCAAGGTGGCTTTGCGCTGATGGTCAAATCTAGTAAAAAATACCGAAGTGATCCTCTCTCAGGAAATTCTTGGCTTCACCTAGAACACTGAATAGTCTGGCCCCTGAGATGACATTTCTTTATACTATACTGGATTTTTGACAAGTCACAGGGTGTGTGACTGTTTCTATCAGAACACTTGCTGTTTACCTTCTGTGTTTAAAACACCATTATTTGTCTGTTACATTCCATTGGTAACTAATATGGTGCTATTACATTGGTACTAATGGGGTTTTCACATTGTCTGTCTCTCTCTGAGGAATATTCTGGAGATTCCCTTAGAGGAGCAAACAACTTAAGTCCTATTACAAACCAGGTAATTAAATTCCCCCTGCTTGCTTCTTAATATTACTTCAATTGGATTCAAGATTATAGTCCTGGCCTATGTGATTCACATTCAAAGGTCTAGCCGATAGAATCCAGTCACTCCTCCCCCGAGAGGGTAGCCCTAAAACGATGGCAATTCTATTCTTCTTCTCTTTTTTTTTTTTTTAATATTTTTTTATTTATTTCTAGGAGAGAGAGAGAGACAGTGTGAGCAGGGGAGGGTCAGAGAGAGAGGGAGACACAGACTCTGAAAAAGGCTCCAGGCTCTGAGCTGGCAGTCAGCACAGAGCCCGACGCGGGGCTCGAACCCACGAACCGCGAGATCATGACCTAAGCGAAAGTCGGACACTCAACCAACTAAACCGCCCAGGCGCCCCTCTACCCTTTTTCTCTCAAAAAGAAATTTGTTTGAGATTTCCCTGACATGTCAGAGTTTTTGATGAATCGTGCCATTCCTGAGGAACTTGGACAAGATGCCCAAGACAGAGACACAGGGCTGAGAAAGGCTGACAAGCCTCATGTGATTGCAGACACTCGTTTGGCCTGACCCCTGGGGCCAGCTCTAAGGACATGCTTCCTAGATCTCTCACCACCTTTGCAGTCCCTTGTGTGGGATCATGAGCCACATCCTTGTTCAGACTAACAAGTGGGTTCCTGCCCTCTCTGCATTTTCCCTCTGGTCGGCCCCACAAGCCTGGTGTTGAGGAGTGAGTACATGATTACAACCAGAAGGCCTGATGACTCTGGTTCTTGTCACCTGTATAACCCAAAGCTGGCCATCACTCATCCCTTGCATCATCTAGAAAATGGGCTTGCTAGTGACCCCTACCTTGATGGCTATTGTGAAAACGTGTTGATTTATTTCTGCAAAAGCATTTTTTTAGCAGCAATCCCTGCACATGCATTATTATTTTCTTTAGTGATTGTTTCTACTCTAACAAAACCCAAGAGGACACAGTTTTATGCCCATTATCACACTGTCACATCTATGCATATTTGCCTTTGAGTTGAGCTGCGGTCAAGGACCAGCAACCAGCAGGGTATCTGACAATACTGTGTGTTGACTGATCACTTGCCTTTTCCTGTCTTCTGTCTTTCCTGAATATTCAGAACACTGTGCCCTAGCAGAGCCAAACAGTATTGGGACAGCCAAAGCAGTAATTGTATGGCAGGCCTTATGAAACTCCTCCAGCGGTGTCTAAGGCCTGCCTGCCGTACCCCCGGTGCCCGTTCCTGGCAGGGGGTAATAAGAAGGTGCCAGGGGTCGCTTCATCACTTCGCGGATGGGAACAGAGGAGCAAAGGCAGGGGGAGGATCCTGCTTCCTGGTCTCCCTCTCCCTCAGAATAAGAAATGGAGACATGGGGTGGACTTCTTTGCTTTGTTTATGCCTCATATCTACCCATTCCGGGGACTTCTCCTTGCACATGTTTTCTCCTTTGGGCTGAAGGACAGAGACATGGTGCTTAAATGCATGCTGGCCAGAGGACACAGACATCCAACCGAGCGTGAAGCTGTGGCTGTGACTTTTGTTTCTTCTCCTCCTTGACCACTTTTCCCTGTCTTTCCAGGACTACAGCATGAAGGAATCTTCCGGGTGTCGGGATCCCAGGTGGAAGTGAATGACATCAAAAATGCCTTTGAGAGAGGTAAGGAAGCGGGCTTGAAGGTAAGCCCAGATGTCTGCCAGCCCCCTAGGTGTGGCTCCTCCCGTGGCTCCTCCCTGTCTCCCCGGGGAGGCACCTGGGCTCTTCAGCCTGGCACCTGCTGTCTCTCGTGGGGTGTTCCCCAGCACGTGCAGGGAGACACCAGGGCACATCGCTGCTCCCTCCTTGGCCCACTCATCATGCCTCTCGCCTGTGGATGCTCTGCCAAAACCCAGGAAGTTAACTATGATATCTGGGCGGCTTATGGCTTCATCCAGAGCCCTTGGTGGCAGTTAATATCAAGGCTAATGCGCCTGTTCGTCGTAGCCCATTTATTATCTTGTGGGCTATTAAGGTAATGGGCAAGCTTTGGCAATTTCCGTCACTGTAATGGATATATATAGTTTCAATTTGAGGTTGGTCCTATCATTAAATCTAATTACATCTGATATGAGATCTTCCATAGGGAGCTCCAGCGTGATTGTTCTCCCGTAAGTAGGTGTCCTTTGTTGCGAGCCAGGAGGAGTAAGAGCGAGTCAGAGTGGCAAGCCTCCTTGGCCTCGTTTTCCTTCCCCAGGGGCTCAGTCCCAGCCTGGCTTCATGATTCTTGTGAGAGGGCCTGTTGCAATGTCCCAGACCAGCCCAGACAGAATGTCCCTGAGCTAGCCTGGCACAATCCAATTTATCCTAATGGACCCTTGTGCCCTCTTCTAGGCTTGGGGCCCCTGAACCTAAGCAGTCTTTGCTTTATCTAGTCCCTGGTCGATCCTACTCATGGCCACCATGCTGGGGAGAGAGCTGATGGACTCTGATGGGAACTTGGAAAGTCAGCCCTTTCCCACCACCTCTGCTTTGTTCTGTGGGGTTTTACCTCTCTCATTCTCTCTTTCCTTTTTGGGGGGCTGCTTATCCTCAGGAGAGGACCCCCTGGCTGGGGACCAGAATGACCATGACATGGACTCCATTGCTGGCGTCCTGAAGCTTTACTTCCGGGGGCTGGAACACCCTCTCTTCCCCAAGGATATCTTCCATGACCTGATGGCCTGCGTCAGTAAGTACATCCTGGCCTCAGACTGGGCTCTGGGCAGGAAAGAACACCTAGTAACAACAGACAAGCAGTTTCCATGGGGTCTTTCCCGCCCCCATAAACTTTTCAGTAATCTTTTTCTTTTCCCTCTGTAGTCTCTCCTCCTCATCCTCAGTCCTTCACCCCCTGCTAGGGAGGGAGGAAGGATGAGTTTTCAGGAAGAGTCTAGGACAAGTCAGACATCCTGGCCTTTTCTTTCTGATTTACCTTAAACGCCTTGCTTTGCTGGGCTTTATCTTTCTTCAGGAAAACACATTTCTTTTTTTTTTTTTTAATTTATTTATGTATTTTGAGAGAGAGAGAGAGAGAGAGAGAAGGAGAGCATGAGCAGAGGAGGGGCAGAGAGAGGGGAAGAGAGAATCCCAAGCAGGCCCTGCACTCTCAGCATCAAGTCCACCTGACTCAGGGCTCAATTTCACAAACTGTGAGATTATAACCTGAGCCAAAATCAAGAGTCAGACACTTCACAGACTGAGTCATCCAAGCATCCCCAGTAAAATACATTTCCAATCATATGTAAGACATGGTACTTTTCAGTTAGTGGCAGTTCAGACATTTACTGCTTGTGCTTGTTATGATCTAAAAGAAATGTTTTCTGCTTGTTGCTTTAAACATGGCACGGCTTACCTGCTAGCTGTGTTAATGTGTGTTCTTCTAGAAATAAAAGCCCTCTGCACATTTAAAAGTAGCGACATGATGTTTTCCTGGAAAAGGATATAGTCTCTACTTTATCCTTCTTACAGTTTCTCTACCTCTTACTCTCAAATTTGGGGCTTGGAAGAACTGTTCTCACCATTTAGTTTAGCTCATTATCCTGTTTTGTTTTCCATGGAACATAATCCATGGAAACTTGGGTTAATATCAGATCACCCTGGAAGTAGACCCCAATGGAATGATGGCTACAGAGGCTGGAGAAGGCAGTGCCTTGGACCTGGGGAAAAGAACCTTCTTCCTAGGTGCACCAGGGTCTTCATACCCCCCAAGTTTCGAATTTGACTCAGCACATGCCACGAACACTGTTCCTATCTGCTGTTCTGAGGACCCAAAACATTCAATAAGCTCTCTTTTTGACCCACTATTTTGGGAGGTCTAGTGAAAATCAGTTCTGTGGGTGATTAAATATATGCATCCCTCCTGTCCTCACATCTTTCTCTAGGACTGGGCTTAGGCAAAAATCTTAAGTGGACCGGGGCTACCAAGATAGTTCAAGACACATTGGGTGCACACTTCTCCCCTTGAGATATGCTCCTAAACCCACTGCTTTCCACTTCTTTTTCACAGAAAGACGCACATAGAAAATGACAATAGCCATGTGGGGCACTATGGGAGTGGGGAGACTGGCTTTGGATGGAGGCCACCAGCCTTGGGGCTTACCTGTAATTGATCTGTCCACAGCACAAGAATCAGGAAACTGCTTTGGTCTTCTCCCCAGATAGCACTATTTATGCAGGCATCTACCATCTCTTGCCTTTGGCTGCATTCTGCTCAACCCCACTGCAGATAAGGGAGGGGAAGATAAGCCAGACCTATCCAGAGGGCAAGGTGATACTTGTGTAGAGTGAGCAAGACAAGACCTGCACAGCATGTGTCCCTCCCCACA